GGCGCTCCCAGGGCCGTGCCGCCAACGGCGGATTCGGGCAACCACTGGCAACGACGACGACGACAACGAATACCACTGGTGTTACTGCTAGCACGTGCTATTACGACTACTACCTCTACCATTGCCGCTAGTAATTTTGCGGGTACGCCGACGACCACGGCGACTAATGCCAGCATCAATACACCACCACTCTACTCGTGCCAGCACCACGACCATTTTTTTGAAGAAACCAACAATACGACGACGACGACGCCGACTGCTGCGACGATTCCACCAGTACCATCACGACCGCGACGACAACAACAACGACCATTGCAACAGCTGCCACAGCTGCCGTTCCCATTGGCCACGACCGCTGCTCGTAGCACGAGTACCGTTGCTACCACAAACCATTCCAAGCTTTGCTATTAATTAATGTTCAAATGCTGACGATAACAACGGATGCCGCCAGAGTTATGTCGCGCGAAAATAGGCTCAAATATATATGCAATGGAAGGAAAACAATACTCTGCGAAGAAACATTTCTCCAACTATAGGGATCGTTTTTTTTTGTTTTGGCTGGTGTGTGCCAAGCCCACCATTCAGTGCCAGGGAGCCAGGATTGAGATTTATGATCCTCCTGCTGCTGCTGCTGTGAGATCGGTGTTGATTCCATTGAGCCTGCCTTCCATGCGTGCCAGTGCAGACAGGTATGCGTCAGTTGCGGCATCAGCATGCCGATTCGACTTTGATTTTTTGTCGCTGCGCAGCTTGCTTATTCACTGCCACCGCACGTGCCTTTTGTCGCAGAAGCTTGACCGGAGCCGACGCTGTCACCCGTGGAGGGCACCTCGCAGACGCTCGCTGGCAGGATGCCCCTCATCCGAGGTTCTTGCATGCCTGTGCTTAGAGCCCCCGTGGACCTGCCACCGTGGACCGTACTCGTAGTTGGCATTGTGACTTTGACCTTCTCTAATTTGCAATCACAAGCAAGTGCGGGGAGCAAGGATAAGAGCCATTAGCTTTTCAACTTCGAATATGCTCGTTGGGCAGCATCGTGCTGCATTTAACCAGAACGGTCACCTCCGTATATGGTCTCGCCGGTCAGCAGCGTGGTAATTGGGCGCCCATTGCTCCCATGTAGAACGAAGCTCTGGCACCTAGCAATGTGGCAGTAGTACGGTGGTCGCAGTTTCATCGACAACAACCGAGGCACAGCCATCAAATCAAGATGGTTGCGCACCAAATACACACGTCCGCACCAAAGCGCTGGACCAAGAAAGACACCATACTACGATGGCTTCTGAAAAAATATATGGTACGGTTGCACCCCGGCAGTGCTGCAGATGCCGCCGCGGACCTAAATTTCAAACAAGTCAGGTCTCTGCAAAGGCTGCGGCCGCGGACTTGTAAAACGGCCAATCGAAACGAACGCGACCCTTAACACGAATTGAATGGCGCAACGGCCAGCCAAAATTGTAAGAGACACTCAGCCAGCTTGGCGGGCAAGACAGCTGGCTCAGCTCCTTCCTCCACTGCTGCATCCTTGGCCACTTGGACAAGCACTTTGCTGTGGCAGCAGGGTCCCAGGCGGGCCGTGTTCTCCGGCAGCAAGGTGAAGAAGCGAACGCCCTGAGCCTGGTGCGTCATTTTAACGTTGGTGTACACTCCAGCTGCTGCCGAGCTTTCCCGCGCGGCCACACGGAGGCTTTCTTGTCGCTGAGGTGAAATGCAACAGGCGAGCCCATGTGAAGGCCTTCGCCAAGTAGATCAGAAGGCCGCCGCCTCCCAAAGCAGAGATGCCCATTCCAAGATGCATTAGGTGGTGGCACCGACAAAATGAGATCACCAATCAAATCACGCACTTGCTGGTGACATGTTTGCCCATCCACTGCCAAGTTGGGTTAGCCCATAATGCCAGATACACGCTACCGGGGAACAACAACGCTAATAATCATGGTTTGGCGGCAAAACCTTTGCTCGCCCCGAGCCTTGCCTTTGCTCTTTCCCGAGGCTGCTTCCCCATCAACTCTGGGGGGACTCAGGCCCCGTGCGAAACCTGGCCTTCTTTCCTGTGTCCGTTCTTCCGTCCATTGAGCACAGGCTTTCTCCTTGCGCTTGTAGTCGCTCTAGATGTATGTCGAAGCTTCTGTGACCAGCCACGACGGCGCAAGGTCACTAGCGATCGAGGACAGCTGCACTGCCATTCTCAATTGAGCCGCATCCTTGTCACACGTCCTCTTCTCATGAATCCGAGAGGCCAGTCTCCTCAATGCCATTTCGCAGGTGTCGCACGGCTCAATCATGCCGCGTGCCTGACCCGGTGAGCCCGCGTCCTTGGAATTGAAATCCACTAAGGACAAAATGTTGAAGTAGTCCACAGAAAACATGCTGCTGATCCACACCCGGACGCATCGAACAGCACCAGCAGATTTCATCGACGTGTAAATGTGTGGCCCAGCTCATCTCAGATCTGGTGGAAGCGCAGCATCCCAAGTGTCCAAACCTGCTTCTTCCGGCCACAGTTCTTCGCCTTGGTCGCGGAGGGTGTTTGTGCCCGGTGTAGCTATCTCTCCAACTTGTCCTTCTGCTCCTTGACTTGCGGATGCGAGCCACTGTCCGCACTCTCGGTTCCGATAGTTCGCACCTGCCAATCTCGGTCCAAGTTGGCTGCAGGCTCGCTCTCCCACACCGCAGGACCAACAATTCTTTGATGGACTTGGCCAAATAAATTTGCCCTCTCTGCTGCACTTCCCCTTCGCCCGCGAATGCATTGGTGGGGGAAGGAGCCGCTTTGCATGAGCTTTCGGCTGACCTGCAATGGCAAGACGCGCCAGAACGCAGTCGCATGCTGGTCCGTGTTTCAGACGCCCCGCTTGCGGTTGCGTGCATGGCAAGCGGTTGCATGGGGACGCGGGAAAGAAACATGCGTGACATGTTGGAATTTTGTTCATTTTCACAACGTCAAGTCAGTTTTCATGTCAAAACACGCGACCGCCCGCCTCGTCGGTCTGCGTGCCGCTTTGCTGTCCATGTCCTCGTCCCCGGGTTTGAAATCCTATGCAGCCCCCTTGCGAACGCAGAGGTGTGCAGGCGAGCCTCGCCAAGTTAATTCGCAACATGGCGCGTGGCAAGAATCACCGACACAGCAAGCGAAGTGGGTGGATATAAGGATGTCTATGCACCAGATGCACATACCAACAATCCATGAACAGAGACAGGGTTCCCCGATCTTCGACATCACGTCATAATACCATGTCACGGAATTGCATTTGATTCGTGCAACTTTGAAAGTTTACCGTTGCTGTGATGTTGCGTTTCGTGACAGTGGTTCAAATATGACATGCCGCATTCTTCCCACAACATGCAAGGAAATGTGTGTTGCCAACGACCGACCCTTAGAATCAGCTGGCAATGCAGACTGTTTGTCCCATTTATTGCATTCTGGACGCGGATGTTTTCAAGCCTGGCGCCACGTGCTGCTGATAGCCCCTAATGATTTTTGCCAGCAAGTTCTCGAAGCCGCTGTCGGCCACCATGTCGGCACCATGCTGTATGCATGGGTTTTGGGAGGGTTTAGAGCTCTAGGACCCAGGATACATAGGACCACACGACATGGACGATGACGCCACGGCATCCATGGAGTTGCTTCTCCCACCCAGTGGCTTGTCATGCAATTTGTTGTAGCAAAAACCGATGACGTCGGCATGGAGTTGGGTGGTCTTGTTTAGTTACCGATAACATGATGCTGTATGTTTCGTATCGTTGATGAAGTGAGGTTAGGGCAGCAAAAATGAAGTGAGGCTAGTGCAGAAAAACTGAATGCACGGGCTGTATGTTGTGTCTGTTCCAATGAACGCCTGGAGGTGAAGCACTGAAACAACTGGTGCTGCTTGGGGCCTTTGCAGCTTGGCTGTGCAACGCTGTGCACCTAACGCATTTGACGCCCAAGTGATGCCGAGTGAGGCGGACGAAGCAACCGTGGCTGAGGCGGTTGAGGCATGGAGCGTCATGGAGCGCGCGCATTTTTGCCACGACATGCAGACCAGGAAACAAGCGCAGGAACCGTTTAATCGGAATCCTCTCGTGCATGACCTTATGACCGCAAGAAGCAACAGCACAAGTGTCCATGTTTTTGTGCTCGTTCGTACGTGGTGTTATGCCAGGGTGTACTATTCTGTAGCATGGCTAGAGTTTTTGTTGAGTTTCAGGGCTTCGCAACATTCCATTCTGTGTCCGGCGCGATTGTCCACCGCTTGAAAGAAAGTATGCTATCGGTGTGCATGCCGATGCAGTTTCGCAGATGGTGATTCCAGGCCGTGGACATCCAACCTACCACAGCCGCTTGCCTGAGTTTTCTGACCACGGCTCCCGATGTCCCATATAGTAGTCGAGCTCATGCTTCGGCTTGACGTTGCAGAAAATGGCCGTGCTAAAAGGAAACGTTTTGGGCTGCCATCGCCGACTTGCTGGGCTCTGCGCCTGCTCGAGCATCTGAGCGTTTGCAGCAGCTCGGTTGCACGGGAGGTTGTTTGCCGCTTGAAGCTGGAACCCTATTGGGTTTTACCAACGGACAGCTTGGTGCTCTCACATGAAACGAAGCATTTGTCGTCCGATACCTCCTAAGGCTTGCCTTGGCAAACGAATCCATGCTTCAGCGCTGCCCGGACACGCGGTCACGACATACTATAGCAATTAATCAACATGGGTAATCGACGTAGTCCGGGTGTGGATAACCGTGACAGGATTGCACGATTGCATCGCACTTGTTGCAGGACTGTGCCGTCTTATGGGGTGTTGGCAGGCAGCTGGGCGTTTTCGATGTCACCCAGCTGCAGGATTTGCATGGGAGCCGGTTTGACACATTCCGCGCAAAGTGCAGTTTGCAAAGGTGGCCCTGCCGGAAGCTTCCCCCGTGGTGCAGTTGGTTCGCAAGCACCATTTGTCCGAGGCACACGATAAGCAGTTGTCTAAGCAGCGCGATTTGACGCTTTGACACCATAAGACGCTGTTTCGTGTGTAACATGTGTAGTCGTAGATGTTCCTGCCGAGGCCATTCTGCTCTGGATGTCCCATCTCCTAACTTTGATCTCGCGATGTATGAAGCACACTTTCTGACGATATTCGTGTTTGTTGTTGCGGTGCTTCTGACGGGGGTGTGCTCCGTTGCAGGTGTCTGCCACGTATGCTGCAGCGGCTGCTGCCGGCAGTTTTTTGGGCCGTCTTGCCTGGGGCAGCTCAACTGTATCTGCGACATGTGCTCGAGATGTTGGCGCCACGGGTTTGCAGTAGCTGCGCCCGTCGTCGTTGTGATAAACGGGAAACATTCCGAAGCCAGTTTGGTTTCTGTCTAATTTATATATTGAATCCCTGAGGCGAAGAACGTCTCGGCGGCATTTCGGCGGCTCAGCGCCGCGGCGACATGTCGGTCCCTGCCACCCTTCGGCATTCACGACTCAGCATCGTTTGCTGCTCTGCTGATAGCGGACAACGAAGACGAAAGCTATTCCCACCTCAAAGGCATCGCATAAGGCAGCAAGGCATTACCCCAAGTTCATTGCAAGCTACACGGGAGGTTCAACACTTGCAGATGTGAAGTTCGGCAGTGGGCAACTGAGGTTCGGAATGTATGTGGGGGGTGCATGGAGGCCAGAATGACTGAACTGTGCATCTCTCGGGTGTCCCCATGTTGCGAAGCTGTTGGTTGGAACTGCAGTGAGCGCTTTCATTCAATGCATGCAGGCTTTGGAAGCTGTTCTGGCCGTCGCATCCAACGCTGCCCAGGACGGCTATTTGCAGCTATTTGTGTCAAGGTGTCGGGTCTATCGACATGAAGCACATGGATCCTGAAAGAGTGCTTTACAATTCTAGGGAATGGTTACATGTGCTTGTGTGATCTTGTGAAAGCATGAATGTGCGCAGCCATTCCCAGGAATGGCTGAGACAGCTCGGTAATCCCCCGGTGGCGAGTGAATGCTGTATTTGGTTGACGTGCAAAGGAACAGAGCCCGATTCCTCAGCCAGTCGATGTGGATCACATGATGCAGGCGCCACGCACCGCACGCATCAAGATGCAAGTTTCGTCAGGATCTCATCCAAACCCTCCAGGTACCTTCTATATAGGGCCCTGGGGGCTCCAGTACCCTGTATAGTAGGTACCTGGCGGGTTAGGGTCACACTGTGAGATTCTGTGAGCACACATCGGTTGTACTCTTGCGGTGTCTGAGAGCGGCGACTCCGAGTCCTTGCTAGGGAGGGTGGTTGTCGGCGTGAAAGATCGGAGGTTCCCGAAGCAGTCATCGAGTGAGGTCTAAACGGTATACCATGTCCTCATCGTCCCTCATATGGCACGGGTTTCGAGACCTTGCCGGGTGAAGCAGTCATTTGCGTCGCATTGATTCTCAGGTGCGTCACGAGGAGCGCGTGCTGGCTGCATTTTCTGGGCCGCACGTACCGACACGTCCTGCCAAAACAAATCAGTCAGGCAAACACAAACATATCACGACTCAGGTCAAAGCTACGCCCTTGCGTCACAGCTGGCAACATGTCCTGAAGGTTCGGGTGGTTCCGGCATAGATTCCGGCATATTTTTTCTTGGAGTATGTGCAGCAATACGTCGAGACAGCAGGCCATGAAATTCCGTGCAGTATATTGATTGTGATTGTGAGTTGCTGCTAAAGCTTACGTAAGATCGACGTGGCAATCTTTGGTAGCAGCCTGACCATCTAAGGTGGAGCATGCTGGTCACTTGTTAGTTTTGCTGGATGCCATGAGGCTCCATACTATTATGGTGAAGCCGCATGAGGCATCCGACGGACATGCTGATGGCTTGGCAGCCAAAGCGGAGATGCACCGCGGCAAAACTATCGTAGTTGAGCTCCACAGAAGAAGATCGAAGAAGAAGATTTCGCCGAGCCTCCCCCAGGCCCCAGGCTTTGGGCTATTTGTTGCAGATGTCGTTGCAAATATGTTTGCAAAGTGTAAGCCCTGATTTCCTGCCGGGAACAGAACTCGAGCACACGAAGCTCAGCCAGGGTACAGTAATGCCCACACCCGGCAACCAGCACGTTTCAGTAGTGTCGCAGGCTGAAACCATCCGAAAACCTCAAAAACCAAACGATGCCCCAAACGTCAGAAAGCCCTGACGTGCGCCAAACCCAGCAACCCTACACCCCTCTACTGTAAATATTCAGACATACATACACACATAATCGATAATTGCAAATCTAAATTACATACATACATACATACATACATACATACAGACATACATACAGACATACATACAGACATGTATACGTTAGACACATATAGCAATACAGACAGATAGGAATAAGTTAATGTGTATACATAATATGCATACAAATCTATCTATCTATCTATCTACCTATCTATCTATCTATCTATCTCTTTACTTATTTGTCGATGCATCTGTGTCTACATATATATATACACACACACATAGAAATATGTATGTATGTTTTCTATCGGCCATAAGCCTCAACGACAGGCTTTACTTTGGCCGAAGCTCGGTGCTTCCTGGCTCTGGGGCTGGTAGCCGCGCCGTAGCGGCTCGGTGGTGTCATCTTCTCTGAGACTCTACAGTAGGCTGTTTTTTTTGTGTTTTCTGGGTGTTGATTCACTCTAGGTTTTCGTTGTGTTTTCCTTTTGTGGGGTTTTGAGTCTGATTTTTCTATTTAGATTCTATTTGTTTACGTTTGGGGAGTTATGGTTTCGCGTCGTGTAAAGGGCTCTCCAAGACATGTGCAACTTGCGCAAGCATGTTCCTCTGAATGCCGATTGCAGTAGAGATGCTCATTGAGGAAGGGGGCTCTGCGTTTCATGTGAGGAAGGGCTGGTGGGCGTGGTGTCGCATTTCGCTGGGCGATTTGGCCTTGTGCGAAGCAGGAAATCCCTTTGCAAGAAGTTCGTGCTTGGTCTTGGCAGAGACTAACATAATCCTGCTTTCTTATGCTTCCCTAACCCCTCCAGGTACTTACTATATAGGGCACTAGGGGCTCTAGTACCCTATATAGTAGGTACTGGGGGGTTAGGGCTTCTTATCATCCAGACTTGGATCCTCGTCTCTGAGATGCAGTCGTGGTGAAGTCTGCTTCGCGAGTTCTGCACGTACAGCCCGGACTCCTCGCCGAAGATCGCCAGCATAGCACGAGTACGGTTCACTCTACGGCTGCGACGCTATGCTGTTGGCAACGACTCTCTTGTCGGGTTTGGGGGTCCGGGGTTAGGGTTGATGCGTCGGTCCCAAAACCAAAGCCAAACATCTTCAGCCTTGGAGTTTAGGGTTTAGGGAGTCGTAGCTGAACGGCCAGCAGCCTCGGTTCGCCAAGCTGTGATCCCTTATAGAACTGAAAGTGTACACTTTTTTTATGCCTATGAGCTCAGCAACTAAAACCCAGAAACATCCTGAGAACCCCGAGGCAAAAGCAATGCTCTTTCGATGCCCTATAGGGCCCTGCACGTGTTCATTTTTTAACCTTGGAAACCCTTTCTAAATCCCAGAATGAGGCTCTATTTGGCCTGCTTTTGGCTGCCTGGCTGCTTCCCAAAGCCTGCCGCCGCTGGAAAGCCTCCAGGGCAGCGGCAGCGGAAGGTCAGGAGGCGGCTGCCCAGGAGGCTTCGATTTTCGGGCTTTTGATTTGCGCTTTTGGGGCGGTTTTGGTTTCCAAAGCTTTGGGGTTTTCGTGTTTTTCGGGTTTTCGGGTTCTTCAGCTGTCAGAGCCAGAGCATTTAGGCTTGCGGGTGTTGCTACTACGTCGAACAGAACGTTGGCGAGTCCGATGCTTTCTATGCCATGTTTGCTTGGCTTGGGGATGGCAGAAAATGCGGGACCAATGCCCGCTCCTACGAAACGACAGGGCGCCAGGAGCTGCGGCTGGCTGCGACTGCTGTTGCATGGGCCTCAGCGTCATACCTGACCCTACAGCCGCATTCAAGCCCCCAAATGCAAGACGCACCACGGCTCAGGGTAAGACTGGCTTGTGCTCTACTGGTCTTCTGCTTGAACCACCGATGCTTTCACCGTTGCCGGTAGAAGAAAGCCCAGGTTGTTGCTGGCGGCCGCTGCATGGCTTCTTTGGCCAGGCATGCCAACCCAAGACAGTCCACCTCCAGCAGAGCATCTTAATGAACCTGGTCATCAGGATGAAGATGGGGGAGGTGATACGGTCTAACGACACCGTATTAGCTCCCATCGTCCTCAGAGTTTCAATCTTTTGTTCTGTTGCAGGGCCCGGGGCTTCAGACCTTGCCGACTTGGCTCCGGATGCTGCAGAGGCGATAGGGTCAGCTGCAGCACTCCGCGGCTACCGCGGGGGTTCAGGTGTCCAATATAGGGTTTCAGACTTCAGGCCGTCATGATCATGAGTATTCTTCAGGATTTTAATTCGAGGCTTGTAGGGTTTACGATGTTAGGGTTAAGAGCCTTCGGGGTTTCGAAAGTTCAGAAATTGACTGCACGAAGATGGCTCTGTGTAGCGTTATATTTGTCATTCCCCAGTGCTGCAAAACAAAGGTTTGCCTATGAGCTCAAGGCTTAAGGCATACAGTTTGAGGGTGTTCCTCGTGCTGCGAGGTGGTGTTCATTCGGGATGTAGAAATTTGCAAACGACTGCCTAAGCTGCCACTTGCGATTGGAGACGGCAGGAGGCTCGCATGCCCAATATCTGGCCCTTCACAATCAGCATTGGGATATTGGCTTTATTGCGGTACAACTTTAATTTATGGGTAATGAGACGAGAGTGCTTTCCCAGTCCTCTGCATGAGCATGGTCCTTCCATGGCACAGGATGAGACTGTCTGAACCCTAAACCCTAATGCGACCTTGTCAGCTGGGCGGGTGGGAAAAAAGCGACCTGGGCCTTGTTGCCCCAGTCGAGTTTGTAGTAGGCTTACGACTTCTTTCTGGAAGTGAATAATCGGTGATGTTCTCATACATTTACACAAAATTCTACAGCACTACACCCAACAGCCCTATTCCGATTGTGAATCAGTTGTAAACTTGACAGGAGCTCTTTCCCCAAAACCTTGATCCGCCGAGAGTCTCAGGCAAGCAGCCTCTTCCGTGAAGCGGCAGACGCTGGCCACTGGGGAGCAGTGGCGCCCTTGGATTAGTTGAAAGTTCTCGAGGCGCATATATATATATATGTATATATGTGCAAAAAAGTATATATATATATATAATAGGGGTCAGAACAACTAGTAGTACCACCTACTGCTATTGCTTTCTGTGCTGTGTACTTAGATCGGGTGGGGCGGCAAGCCGAACGTTACGGGTTGCTGCCAGGGTCCCGGACGTTTATAATCGACCCCTCAACATATGACCTTCATGCGACCAAGGCTTTAACATTATAACTGTAATGCTTCCATTCGTCTTGCACCCTAAACCCTGCATCTGGAGTGGATTGAAGTTTCTCTGGATCCCTGGAGAGCAAGGCCTATGCCCTGGCGATGATCAAGCTCGATGGCGACAACAAGAGCCAGGATCTCGGCCCCTGCATCCGTCAACGCGTCAACCAGAGGTCCCAAGCCCTATATATGCCCTAAACCCCACCTGGGACTCCAATTATACCTACAGTTTTATGGGTTCTACCATGTTCTACCCAGTAATTAATGGGCCATGGCTGCTAAACTGTGGGTAAAGAGAGTCGCAGGTAAACCCTATATTTCCCTCCAGCAGGAAACCGTCGGACCTTTGCCTCACACGCCTACGTAAAAACCCTGGCTATATCGTCATTTCTTTCAGATGTTACTTCTCTGGGCACCACAGAGAGCTACGCAGGAGAATAGATTCGGATGGAAAGGCTTTTCGGCTTTCCCCGAAACTGAACAATGGACAAGCATGGCAGTCGCTCACTCGTGCGACATGTAGATTTGTCCTTCGCTCAGACCGCTTCCGGGATTGCTGCTTCGGCCTGCTGCTGATTGACATTGGTGCATCTTGCACGGAGTCCAGGCGAGGCGGAGCCCTACCTAACCCAAGTGGTGGAGTCGGATGCGGACGAAGCTGCGCCACCCGGCCGCAAGGTGCCAATGTAAGTGGCGATCGGCTTGAACGTTCCGGCATGCGACCTGGTGCTTCCGTCCTTCCTTGTTACTTCGATGTAGCACATAGCGGACATAGCGAACTTCGAGCTTCCGTCGAGCTGCGGATGCATTCAACTTGCAATACCTGCCTGACAGTCGAAGAAGCAGATCACTTTCCATTCTTGGGTACACAGTCAGAGCCACAAACCCCGCTCTTTTCCATACCGGCGCGGTCCAAGGCGTGCCTTTGCGCAATACTTCCGCCATCGTCTGGGACTGGGTGTGGCCAAGGATCCGAATTTGTTTTCGAAATCCTCCGCATCAGGTCTTCAGAGGATTTCAGAGGCATCATGCCCTTAGCTCCAGGGTCTTTGTGGGATTACGCCCGGCCCTTGGCATGCCCAAGGCTCGGGACGAGTTGTGCTGGAGTTCCCAGTCAGAGCTTCGGAAGATGGGCTCTTCTTGCCTTTGTTCTCCAAATGCGTGACGCTCAAGCCCTCCAGATGTAATTCTGCAGCCTCTTTAACGCAACTCCGTGGTAGGATGAGATGGCTGGGCTTGGATCCCGAAGATCACGGAGAAGCTTCGTGCAATTTTCCAGAGCCCCCATGCAACTGAAAAGAACCACATCACGTACCGATCAAACCAGCCACGGGGCTCCGCACTCATAGCAAGTCTCGATAAAAAACCAGAGCAGCCCAGTCTTCGAGGACTTGTATTTCACCTTCGTGGCTGAATAGTGAGTGTCAGAAACTCATTGTCTGGCTGGCACGCGCAATCGGGGCTGCGAGCCCGAAGTTTTTGGACCTGAATGCGCTGTTGTGGCGGGTAGTGGGGGAGGCGGCGCGGTGATGCTGATGTGTGAGTGCTGTTCTGGAAGTTGTACAAGTCCAAGACGGCGCGATGGCAAGCTGTTTGCTTTATCATTCCGCCCTAGTTCAGCCGGAACCTCCCTCTTACTAGTAGATGAAGAATGTAAGGTTCAAGTGGTTTTCAAATGTTCACCTTGAGGAAGCCTGCTTCCCCCAAAGACCCTACTTAAACCCCGAAGCCCCCAAGACCCTCTAACCCCTAAGTCTAAGACCCTGAGGACCCTAAATCCCAAAGACCCTAAGCCCCACCTAAACCCTGACTGAAGCCCGAAGTCCTAAAACTCTTAAACCCAAAGCCCCCCTAAAAACCCTGACTTGAGCCCGAAGTTACGAAGCCCAGATCCCTGCTCTCCTGCGCTTTTGTTAAGGGATTTAATTTAAGCTGCCATACTAAGGAAACCATATTATTTACTATAGATCACTCTTTTGGTAGCTTAAATCAAAGCCCTTACCAAGAGCCCAGTCTTCGGAGACCGGGCTCCTCGTCAGGATCCCGAGAAAGCCGGGCTCCGGCAGCTTGGCGAAGATCGCGCCCAGGGGTTTTCAGAGGCTTTGGGGTTGGTTTTAGGGGAGTTCTGGGTTCAGGTTTAGGGTTTGGGGTTTAGGGAGGTTTAGGAATCCGAAACCCTTACAGTAACCCTGAACCCAATGTTTAGGGTTCTGGGGTTTTGGGCTCAGGGTGGGGTGTACTGAGTGTACTGTGTTGCGTGAACTGCAGGTGGACCAAACGACCAAACGAAGGGAGCGGTAGCTTTGGTCGTTTCGGTGGCTGAGGCAGGTCGCAGTTATCGAATCTGGTCTATAGGGTTGGTAGGTTATAGCGGTATAGGTGCACTTTTGATTTAGGAAGCAGTTGCAGGAAGCGAAAATTCGGGGGAAGCCGTCTGGCAGTTTGCTCGACAAGAAGGCTGCAGGAGGATGTGTTGGCATCACAGGGACCTGGTGCTGGCCGATATGTCCAGATTTCATGCTGTGACATTTGCTCCTGTGCCTCCGGTCCTCCATGAGGCTGCAGCAGGCCGCAGATTTCGGCGAGGCGTTGCGGGACGCGAGGGGCTGATCAGAAGAGTTGCGGGCCCCTTTCGTCTCGAAGAACTCCGAACAAATGGGTTTGGGGGATTCACCTCGGCTCCATCTACTTGTGCCCAAATTATTGGTAACTGGGTTACTTCACAACATACTCGCATCAAGGAGTTCCCGGACTTCACTGCAAAGCACCGCCCTCTGGACGCTGGAATCTCTATTGGAAATTTGAAGACGCCGCAAGGGTACACCCGACAAAGCCCAACCACGCAACCCTGTGATTTAATGCAAGTCGTCAACTTTCATTCACTAGCCTTCAAGGGTTCGATGAGAAGCCACTTAAGCCAACCTCCAGTATGATGCTGTACGCTTGCCAGAAACCAAAAGCCAAAACCCTCCCCACTGCGCCAAGCTGGGCCCACGCCTGACTTTGACGCGCGCCCAGAGACCTCATCTGGCTGTGCCGAGATGTGAGAGTAGAAACCTCTCCATTGTTATGATTATCTACTGCGATCATGATTTGCTGACATGTTACGAGTCACTTCTCATTTGATTTGTTGTCGCCCTGGCTATATTCAGAAGAATGGTTTTCAAAGAGCTGGCCAGATCAACGCCGTGACGCTGCTGGCCGAGCTAAGCACGCGGGAGGCTTCTTTTGCAGGGCCAGGGTCACTTTTTGAGGCTCGGTGCTAACATATACGTGGGCGTTCTAGATCCGGCCCAGTGACATTCACATGGAGGTAGGAAAGTCTGCCACCAGTCGGTTTGGGACGGACGCAACGAAATTATGAGGGGTGGGGGTAAGCGTCTCAGGAGGAGTTCGCTGGACCCCAATCTAATGCTTGTCGAGTCCGAGGTTTTTGGTATAACCTTGCTGATAGATTTTGGGGGTCTAGGGTTTAGGGTTTTCTGTATAAGCACAACCGATCGGAGAATCGGTTCCCCGTGCTGCACCCACCAAACCTTGTCCGCAGGACGCAGATGTGAGGCTGCCCGGTGGCCGAAATCTTTCACTTGCCCTTGACTACTATCGACAGGCGGGAGGGGTCAGGATTCTGGCGCTTCAGGGCTTGTAGGCCTTCTGTATAAGAAAAGGACTACTTCGTAGCAGTCTTGCTGAACATGGATCGTTTGAGTGAGGGGGTATACGGGGCGTCCTTCATTCTTTCCAGCTCTTTTTCGTTCGCCTAGGCCTAAGAGCGCCTCAACAGTAGCTGACACACCCGCCCGGAGCCAGAGACGTGAACGGCAAACACGAGACCCTCGCCGTGAGTTGACGCGTGCTGCTGTCAATCTCAAGCCAGTCGACCTTGCGTGTACCCATAGGCTCCTAACAGGTTCCTTTTTATGGTTCATATTTAGAATCCTATATCCCCAAAAGGAACTACT